GGTCTTTTACTTCTGACTGATGTTTTTATTTGAGGGAACAAGGGATGTTTGTTATCTAAAAAGATGGAATTAATTTTTTTAGTGCAAGCTGTTATGTACAATTCATCCAAGTTGGGGAACGTAGATGTTGAAATTGTACATGCTTTCCGTATTAGTCGATTTAATTTTTCTTTCTCTTGTTGTTTTGTGTTCTCGGCCCGTGCTGTTATACAAAAATTGATCTTACTTTCTATAGTTGAATGGTAGAACATTGACATCAATATTTTATCAACTTTAAAATACTTTAGCTTCCTTAGAAAAATTGTCTTTTGGTCACTTTTTTATGCAGGAGAGAAGTGTAAAAAAAAGAAAAATGATAGCGTCTTTCTAGCCTGCATTCAGTTCGTCTTCGTTGTCTTCTTCTATCCCGTGGTTGGCGCAACCGTGGGGACACCACTGCATCTGAAAACCAGCTCTCGCCATTTCTCTTTGTCATCTGCTTTCCTCAGATGGGCACCCATCGTCTTCCCTGTCCACTCTGCGATGTTGTCCTCCCATCTCCTTCTCTGCCTTCCTCTATATCTTTTTCCGTGTACGTCTAGTACGGTTTAAACTTAAAACAAACAGACTTACCATCTGTAGATTCCGGGGGTCGGAGCATTCCGTAATTTATAACAGACTGTTGTCGCGTTTAACACGGCAGAGACTCGGGCAAAACAGGGGAGCAAACCCATACGTAGACCGAACCACCTAGGGGCGACAACTCATTAGGGCCAAACGACTCCCCTGTGCTGACAGTTACCGCCCCTAACGCCTTTTTTGGAGTGGAAGTGGAATTAAAAGACACCGTGTGTTCATTTAGCGGAATCTCTCCCTACGCCCACTGCGTCCGCGCTCTGAACCAATGTTTGGATATGTGTTTGTGTTTTTCTTTTGCTTTTTTCCTTTCGTTTTATTTGTTCTTTTGAAGAATTTGGTCGTTTGTTCTGTCTGCGTCTGTTAAAGCGGGTGGTTGGAGGACGCCACTGGAAGGTCTTACTTCTTTACTTTCACTCAGTCGTCTCTGTCGGTCTCTGTGTGAGTGTGTGTGTGTGTGAGAGAGAGAGACAGACAGACAGAGACAGACAGACAGACAGACAGACAGACAGAGAGTTTGTGTGTGAGTGTGTGTGTGTGTGTGTGTGTGTGTGTGTGTGTGTGGAGGAGGAGGAGGAGGAGGAGGGGAGGGAGGGGATAGTAATATTTTCTCTACCATGGTGCAGGAATTGTTGAGAACGTTTTTATGAGTAACATGAACGTTAGCCCCCCTCCCCTCCGGAGTCTCCACTCTGTTTGGAGCCACATTTGGGATGGAGGAAGGTTTGGGGTGGTCGAAATTTACTTATATCCATGTTTGGGGGATTTGTTTGGTATTTTTATTTGTTTGTTTGTTAGTGGGTTGGGTTTGTTTGTTGGGGTTTTTTTTGGTTTTTGGGAGGGTGTTTGATTGTTTGTTTGTTTTTTTAATGTATTATGGTGTATGATAGTCTTCGGCTGGGATTGGTTTCTGCGCTGTGCGCCCACCTGGAGTCGTGAAAAAGAAGCTGTAAAAAAGTGCCCCAGTTAATCTGAGTCTTTTACCAAGTTTGTAAACTCTTACCGTGTTGGTAAAGGCCATCTCAGGTTTGTTATCGATCCACCTCCGATGTGAATGAGCACAGTGGGGTTTTTTTTGGGGGGGTCGTTTTTTTCTGGACTAAATCATTAATATTGCGTCATTAATTGTTCTTCTCTTTCCTCAAAACGTAACAATACAAAAGTGAGCCTCGATGACGCCGTAAACCACACAAGATCAGGAATATCCGGTTGTAGATTTGAAACATGCTGATCTGGATCTCAGTTTAGCCTTTTAGTCATGGATCGTACAAAACATTCGCCGTCCGTTCAGTGAGTCGTTTGCGCGTTCTATGATGTAATTTGCTCCTTGTTCTTATCCATATCTCTTCTCGTTCTTTTCTTTGTACGTCAGTCTCTAGTAACGCCACTTATCTTGTATTACATATATTTATGTATGATGCAAATGCCGTAAGACCTGTACTACTAAACGTCCGCTGAAGTAAACGGATGGTTTGGAATAAATTGTTTTTAACTACGTTTTGATTTACAATGATAGCGTCTGCTGAGAGAAATGGGTGGTTTAGTCCACCCTCACAGCACCATTAAAATTTGTTCGCTTAATTCAAGAACGTGTCTGACTCCTGACTGTGAGGTGGAGACACATCCTTGTGTTGAAGTTAATTGCTGGCTTTTCCTCTAATCTGCCGCTCTCTCGTCCTCATGGACATGCATAATATTTTGACAGCTTTGTTCGAACGGTACGACTTGTCTTTTTACGCGGCAATGTCATAAGTTTTTGCGTGGTATGTTTTCCTTGATGTGTTGCTTACGACAGTAATGGCTTGTATTTAGGCGTCGCTGGTGGAAGCCCAGGCGATAGATAAAGACTCTCTAATTCGTGTCATATATGGCTTACGATTCACTGCCACAGTGTCTTGCTATTCTCCCACACTTAGTTTTAGCCCGGTTGTTTGGCTATAGCTGATGGTGACTTTGTGGTGGGCCGGGTAATTTAATTGCTTTAACCCTCTAGAATCTGAGCTTGAATAATATGGTGTTTAAGCTCAGGAAATCTGAAATGTTTCATGGAAATCTATCACACAGATAGACTTCACTCTTGTGTTAGATTTGCAATAGATCAAGTTATGTAGTCAGGTCAGATCTGATACACGGTAACTAAATTATGGTCCATCAAGGTTAACTTTTTTTACATACCATCTTGATTTAATGCGCTAGATATGGCAGATACGGTCCTTGGGGGTTGAATTCCGATGACCATAGGGGCAGTTGTGAGACTGTGATTGTCATCATTAATGCCCTCTTTTTATTTTATTTTATTTTCAATTTTAATTTTTTTAATTATTTCATTTTTTGGAACGAGGGGGGTAGGGTGTGAACCGTTAGCTCAGTTGGCTACACTCTAGGTGCATTGTCAGTAGCATTGTTCCAGGGTGTATTTTATTGCTTTGCTGTCGAGCGGGTGTGATTACGCTTTACGAATGGTATTTGGTATCTCTATTATTAATCTCCAATGGACCGTCCATGCAACTGCTTACCTATGTATCCTGTTTGCCTAAGATGAATACTAAACTGGGTAGAAATGAATGCTCCGGTAAATATGGAGCTGTACACATATACAGTTTCATTACTGAAAAGCGTGGGTTGGGTTTTTTTTTACTGTAAATGACGGAGTGATTCTGTGAGCCCGAGTTAAAGTTATGGTGTGATGCAGAGACGGGCGCTGAAAATGAAACCTACAGAGGCACTCTAATTTGTTGCTCATTACTTCTCCATTTGGTTGACATCCCCCTCTCCCTCCCCTTGATCTGCCCACTGGGATGTATGTGGTTGGCGGGCGCTCCTGTGTGCTTTGCTCCTTCTTGCCCTCAAACATCTATCGCCTTTATCACTCCTCCCTCTCTTCTTTGCATGTTACTCTCTAGTAAATCATCTTATCTTCTGCACTTATGTGACCTATATGTATTGCAAGTACCTCAAAACTCTTACTAAAAATAAACTTAAAACTGTCCACAGGCTTGCGAGAGCACTGTGAAGCACAAGACAGAAATGGTGACCAAACTGGAGGAGAAAACCAACCAGCTGGTGGGAGCTATGAAGGAAATGGAGCAGAGGTAATCACTTGTTCTTGGGTTCCGGTTGTTTTGGTTTTGTTCAAATGTTATTTTCCTTTTATTATTATTCTTTAAATCAATTTTTAGTTTCTTTTGAACTCGTTAGGGTAGTCTTTCAAGAGGGAGTATTTGTGATAGTAGGAAAAGGAAGAAGAAAAGAATGAAGGTAAAGAAGACGCACAGAATGAAGTGAGACATAGCTACGTCATAGCCGAGATGTTCATGGTTCTCATTCCTTTACACAGGGGTTACATCCCCTGCGTGTGTGTTTGTGTGTGTGTGTGTGTGTATGTGTGTGTGTTGGGGGTGCTTTTTTTAAAATTCGATAGCATCTCAGAACAGGGGCGGGGGTGTAGGTGAGTGGCTACAGTTTTAGATTTCGTTTTCTCCTTCGTGTTTGAGCTTACATGTGGGGTGGGGGGGGTGTTTGTTTGTTTGCATGTTTGTTTTTAAATAAACATGTGGACTTAAACATATTAGCAAGATTTATTTATAGAATAATGAAGTGACCATAATTATTGATAAGGCTTGATAGGTTGTTTTAGCATGAGTACTATTAGTGTCCATGGGTGGTCAAATGTGTTTGCTTTAAGTTGTTTACTAGTCTCTCATTGCTTAATGAGACTGGTCTTTTGCAACTCGAAATATCTTAGTTCACGTTAACTAATATTTTACTCCCAGCCTACATGAAGTGCACTCAGTCTCGAAACCTTAGAATTAAAACCGTATTCAGGATTAGGCTCAGGGGTTCGGTTCTAGTACACCACTTGTAGATTTTACTGCTTTTCTTTCATTCTGTAGTTTCTGTATACACGTATCTATCTTTCTTTCTCGTTGCACTAATTAAATGGCCACTTTTGCGCCATTGTAATTGTTTTACTTTAATACAAAGCGATAGGATCTGAAACAATGCACACATCCTTCTTTTTTTTCAAAATGGACAGATCGGACTTCACTGACACACTCGGCTGTTTCAGGGTGCCATCTTGCTTTTTTCCCCAGGGAATGCTACCATTATTGCATAAGCTGCTTTTTCATTTTCACTAAACCTGCGAATGAACAGTGAGGTTTGAAAAGAAAGCAAAAAAACTCCAGGTCCAACTCATCAGGAACCCCCCCCCCTCCCCGTCTAAAAAAAAAAATCCAGGAAAACAAACATGCACTTGGATGTATTTTTCTTAGGTTTAGTTTTTTCCCTTTTGTGTTGTCGAACCACTTTTCCAACATGGCGTCGAAACAGCTTCCGGATAAATGTAACAAATTGGCGACCGACGCTGTGTGGCGGGCGAGGAATTCTTGGTCTTGCCTGCGCCTCCTATGGTTTGGCTGAATATGTACTCGGAATATGTATGAGCCCCCCCCCCGGGGAAAAACTTACGTTACGAAATATTGATCAAAGTGAAAAATTACATGCTTATGTGTGGGCGGATATATTTTTCTCGCGTTTTGGAGATTTTTTTTTCTTTTCGTTTTTGTATGACGAAGTTAAAACGCTAATTCGAAATAGGTTGTTACAAACCCCTGATTTGCGTTCCCTTATCCCACTTTTCCGGCTCATTTTGGTTTGAAAATTTCACACGAAAGGGCATGCCGTGAGTGCAATTTTCTATGTAAACGATGCTCCATGTATAATATTCTCGGCAAAAGTAACCCACCACCCCCAATTCCTACGACAAGTTAGAAGTGTCTTTTTCGCATGAGGTCACGGTGACCCGCACTCGTTTGGCCCCCACAATATAGGGTGGAGACCCCAGGCTGCGAAGTAGGTCAAGTAAGTTGCGAAAGCGGGCGGGAGGAGGGCTCTTTCCATACTTTCAGCCTTACGTGTATCAGTGTTTCTCAATGCAAGTAACTCTTTGTATTCCTTTTATATTGGCGTAGCTAACGTTCTCTCTCGTTGCACCATAATATTATATACACTTTTGGCTATGCTTCTATGTACAATACTCTTTATTATTTCAGTTTGTTGTACATACGTTGATACAGGTGTTGAGTACAGAGACGTCGTGCTTTTTGTTCTTGTACAGGATGGCGCAGAAGTTGCGATATCATTTTAAAAGTTAATTGTGAAAATTGTTTCAAGTTTTTGATCTGTGATTGTTGACAGTACGACATCTGGAGATTTGTTTGGCGTTCACAGGTACGCTTCCAGACAAAACGCCAAGTTGATTTTTCTTTATTGAATTCAGTGTAGTAATTTTGGTTCTTCGGATTTTTCCCAGGTTTGTCGTTAAAAAAATTGTCGCATAGCAATTGTGGAATTGACTTGGGAAATAAAAAAAATATAGTGTCCTCACACGAAAGCCTATCTGTGTAATGATGGGGTACGGTATCCACCCTCAAACTCGCGATAATCAGCATATTGCAATGGTCCAGGAACTGGGATCTGTGGTTGATACGCCACGAACTGGGAGGTCACATTCTGTGCGAACCCTGGAAAATAGGGCCAGTTTTGCAGAGAGTGTAATGGAGGAGACATTCACGTCTGTCCGACGACGCTCCCTTTAGCTTAACCCCTGCTGAAGGTCGACGTTGCAAAGACCTCAGAACTTGCGTCTGTATCCATACACGGTGCAGTTGGATTATGCAGTTTTCGGCAGATGTGAAGAGACGACAAGACCTTTCTCAACAATTTGGTCATGGGAGACAACGGTCATTTTGCACCTTAACATTGTTGTAGACAGACAGAACAGTAAATGTGTGGGAAACCAGACTCCGAGGATCATCCACAAACGTCAGCTCCATCCATCTGGTGCGGTGTTAACTCAGAAGGCACAAACGGGCCATACTTTCTGCGGATTAGAAGGGTAGCGGCGTCGTCAATCTAGGGGCTAGGCTACCGGACCTGGAATCGTGACTTGAAAATGAAATCACCAAATCAACGTGTTAAAGCCTCGCATTACCAATTTAAAGCTATATAAATTTTGCATCATCTGGCATATTGATAATAATCTATGTTAAGAGACACCCGGGATATGGTCACTCAAAATTGACCTTGAAAATTAGGCTGGGCAAAATTAAAGAAATGTAAAATTGTCTTCGCACGTGTATTGAGGAGCGTCAATATTGATAGAATGGACGTTTATTACATATCCAATGAATGGAGAATGTTGTATTACAATAGGCAATATTCTATTTTGATATTTTGCCTCGATAGTTTCAAACAAAACGGAAAACAGAGCAATCACAAATGCCATGCAAAACTTGGACTTAACATTAATATAATATGCTCATTATTATTTTGCTTAGGGGCCATTAGTTTTGTGTAGTGCACGAACCCTTTGGGCGTCAACTCTATAAAAATTTGACCATTGCTATCTGTCATTCCACCCGGGATGTCACAGAGAGTTGCTAACAAAGGGTCTGAGTTGGGAACAAGGTCGCGTTTCTTCAGTTACTGTTTTATGGTACTTCACTCTTCACATACCTATAGGATTGTTGTCGGGGCTATTTACTGGTGTCCACTCCAACGTTGATTTGATTTTGGTTTTCCAAGAATTATCTAGTGGCACTGGCACTGTGAGAAAGTTCTTTGCTAGGCATGGAGATGTCTACTAGAATGACACCATGACAAAAATAAGGGTAAGACATGACGTTCAGGCGCTTGCGCGATATTGTCCACTAAACCAAGCCGTCCAGTGATTCTCATGAGGGCGGTTCTATTCATTCCACCCAAAACCATGGCAGTTTTGTGGTCTCTGTTTATCACTGACAGATGATTATGTCCAAAATTTAATCAGCACAGTCTAGATGCAAAAAGGTTTCGAGCTCGACACGAAACCATTATAGTAGCTCCTAAACAAAAACAAAATTAATACTAATGAGCACATGTTAATATGTTACGTCCAGGTTTTACGTGGTATTTGTAACTGCTCTGTTTTCCAATCTGTTTGGAAATATCAGAAGATGCTGTTCATTGTAGATACAATAATAATAATATTCTCTTTTCATTTGATATTCAGTACATGTCCATTCCACCAAAGTTGATCTACTTCAATATACTCACGAACACACTTGCGCTTTTTTTCTGATTTTGCACAATTTTGCCAAGCCAGACTTTTAAAGGTCAATTTTGAGTGACCGTATCTCGGGCGTCTGTTAACTTAGATGAGATATTCAAGTCTCAGATGTCGCAGAATTTATTAAGCTTTAAACAAGCCTGTAACATGATGGTTTTGGTGATTACATTTTCAAGTTTCTTTTGGACGCCACTATATAGTTATTCCATTTGTAAATGGTAACCCGGCTACTGCGCCATCCTGTATAATGTTCCTTTCTTTCCTTCTATGTTTCTTTACTCTGTGATCTTTTTGCATTTTTTAAAATTTCTTTTGCAGTTTTGGTCGTTTTACTTTTTGTTTTCTATAAAAATCAAAAACCGTTCTCTATTAATATGTGGGGGGGGGAGTGCAGTGATTCAATGACAAGAGGTGCGTCTCTGAAATGTATAATCAAAGATATCTTTCGGTCAGATTTCCGAATATCTTCAACTTCATGCAGGGTATAATTACTTTGGCAGTTTGCAGGGTATTTCACGCTGCACGCAATTCATATTTTTTTTATTTTTTTTTTGTTAATTTCGTAGCCTCTGAAGTATTTTGTCCAAAATGTACTTAAGTAAACTTTGGACAAAATATAGTTCTGAGGCAACGTTTTGTTGGGAGGTTTTTTGTTGTTGTTTTTGCTACACAATACTGATGTGGTTGGTAAATGTATCACTGCACCTTCTGCTTACGTTCTGGGCAGTGTGTTCCATGTCAGTAGTTTTTGCTTTGCTCTGTTTCTCATTTCCAACGTATTTTCTGCCACTTTTGTTTTCTTTTTTTTCTGCACGTCGCCATTCGTTTGTTCCATCACGCGCCCTTTGCCCTGTACCAACGCCATCATCGCTGTGACCTTTGAACCGTGAACTGTATGACCTCTGACCTGTGACCCTGCTGTACGTAACCCCGTGGGCGCACTGTGGCTTCCCTCTGTCTGTGGCAATCTGTCTATCAACCCGTTCCTCGCGGTGTGCCAGACTGAAGCAGTCCGCCTCAGACAAAGTGGCCGCTGAGGAGACGGCCCGAAAGTTGGGCCAGATCATCGCAGAAAAGGATCAGAAGAGGTAAGTAGGGCAGCCTGCATGGGTGCAATAGCATCGCCTCAGATCACAGCTCCGGGCACTTATATGACGCTATTGTGTCGCAAGTGCCGTAAAATAAGTTGCTAAAACAAGATCATAGCCGAAGTCCCAGTTCTGAGTAATGAAAAATCACACCGACATAATCACGGCCATTTAGTGGTAGGGATAAAATAAAACAAATAGACAGAAACAACCGAGGGAAAGAAGAGAAGATGGACCTACATTGTTTTGCCTCTTGCCAACTACTGCTGATTGCTGCTGGTTTGTGGTAATACATGTACATTTGTAATTGTTATTATTAAAACCATTATTATTGTACCAGTGTAGTGATTATGACAGTAATAGTCGTAATAATAATGATGACGGTAATAAAATTTTATCATTTTCATTTTTACGAGTATCCTAAATATTGTTAAATATTATTTCATTTTTTATTGGTTTTGTTAATGCTATGTTGTCATGATTGATAAAATTATTATTATATTATCATTATCGATATTATTATTATTGTTGCTGTTGTTGTTGTTTTTACTATTAGTATTATTATTATTACCATTTTAATAATTATCATAGCTATTATGATCAATACTGCAATTTCTAATAGTTTTATTAATACTAAAATTCGACTCATTCTATTTTCCTGATTAAAAGAAATCAACACATTTTGTTATTCAAAAAGTAATCACAATATGCTAATAATGATAATTTTAGTTGAGTCAGTAGTATGGAGAAGAAAAAGGAAACAGACCGCAAAAAAGTAGTGTATAGTCCAGGCTGTCCAGTGAAGCTATCCAGAGCTGGTCAACTCATTGCATCTTCCGTCATATTCCTTGTTCTATGAAGATGTATTTGCTGGATTTCGTTGCAGCTTTGTTACGTGAGATCTTAAGTTGCTAGGTAGTTTCCAGTTTCGTTTTGTGTTTTTTTCTTTCTCTGTGCCTTATAGTGTTTGAGCACTGTTTTTGCTTTGCTGTGCCACTCGTGGAAGAGTGTACTGTGCAAAAAGATTGACGGTTACTTCCTACACTGTATGTAAATGATGTCCCAACAAACCCAAGTGAGTGGTTGGTTGGCGGGTGCTCTGGTGTGGTTTGCTTCTTCTTTCCTATAAAACATCTTTTTATCTCCCCTCCTTCTATTTAGTGTTTGTTACTCTCTTGTTATACCTCTAATCTTCGGCACTCATATGACCTTATGCAGTTGCGAGCGCCGTAAAACCGCTACTAAAACTAAACTAAACCCAGCTGTTTGACGTGATGCGTGTCTCCCAGGGAGTAGTTAGAGGACGCCACTTTTCCGCACGCTCATATGTCCTTATGCAGTTGCAAAACGTTTCCAGAAACAAAAAACAAAAAAAGAGGGCGCCACTGGTAGGTTCTTCTTCTCGTCTTTCCCTCGTTGTCTTTTTTCTGTCTGTCTTGTTTCTTCCCTGCACTCAGTGACCGTTGTAAGGGTGTGCTTCTCTCAAACTAAAACTCTAACCCGCGGGGCGGTGCCACTGACTGAAGTGTCTTCAGGCCATTTCCAAAGGGGGGACATTTCTCGTTCATGCACAGAAGAATAAATGGGCTGATCTACTTCTTTTGTATGTTTGGCACACTCTTGTGACCCGCTATTTCCGGGGTGCCTTGAAAGTCGAAACAGACTGTGCTGTTGAAGCTAGAGAGGTGAGCTGAGTAAGCCTGATTCCCTGTAAAGACTTCTCTGTTCACATCCACCCCTTGGCGCTCATATGACCGTGTGCTGTTGCGAGTGCCGTAAAACCTCTACTAAATAAATATAAATAAAACTCAAACTCAAACGTCTCTCGCCCTTGAGGCTCTGCAAAGCAGTATGGTTGTTGCTGTTTGTGTGTGTGTGTTTTATTTGTAGTTTTTTAATATTTTTGTGGGTGGTGACCATTGCGTTAACAATTCAGACTTGACGTACCGTGACGCGAAGGCATCCCTCAGGCTTGCCGGCCCTCACAGGAGCTGCATCTAAAACGATAGACACATTTTCAGGAATAAGTTCGTTGCTGGATATAATCCTTCTGATTTTTTGATTTGTTTTATTATATTTTTTTTTTGATTTTTTTAAAAATCTGATATTATGGGCGAAGGCACCCGTTTGTTCAGTAGTTGATATCATGCTGGACTGCGAAGTGGATGGCCCAGGGTCGAATCCCCAACGGGGTGTTCTGAGCGTGCGTTCTTTTGATGACTTGTTGAATTGGGGGGGGGGGGGGGTTGTTTTGTTTTGTTGGGTTTTTTTGAGAGGGGATTGTAACGCTCTTCTTCCAGTTGGTTCGATCTTATCGGAGATGGATGTTTACAGTGATACTGAAGGACAATGGCCAATAACCCGATACGGGCTCAGCTGATAATAATGGTGATAATAATAATAATAATAATAATAATAATAATAATAATAATAATAATAATAATAATAACATGATGATGATGATGATGATGATGATAGTTGTCATTATTATTATTATTATAAAAAATAGCATTTGTATTCTGCAAAATCCGCGCCCAACAGTTAACTCTATGCATTTTACTATATATTTATGTATGATAGCGAAATGGAAACAAAAAAGTGGGGTGACATGGGTGTTGGGTTGTAAAGTTTAGTCTGGTTCACGTGCCGAAAATCGACGCTCCTACAAGGCTTATCCATTTCGAAGAAAAAAAAAGTACAGTGCATATCTAAAATCTGTAGACTAAGCTGGTAGCCGGGGTTGTAGTTTTGTGGGGGGGGGGGGGGGGGGGGGGGGGTTTATATAGTAAAATGAAAATGGAGCACTCGAAAGTCTTCATGCCTTGAGTTATGAAAAACTTGCACTCATCAGTTGAAATGTCTTAGATAGCTATGTTATGATATTATGTTATATAACTCCACCTGCTGCTTGCGATGTCAGCGTGGGTGGTTTGAGGGCACGTCTGGTAGGTTGTACAACTTTTCTTTCCCTCTGTTTTTAACTGTGTATCTGTCTTGCTTTATCCCTATATATAACTCTTTTTGTGTCGACGTGCTTCTATTTACTCAAACTCAAACTCGATATGAGACACTCTGACATTATGTTAAATCGGAATGACTTGTCAAGGTTTCTGTGTTTGTGTTTTAATTATTTTGAATCCATACCGGTGAAAAAAAAAAAACATTCTCGCCCTCCTTACGACTGGGATTTGGCGTGGGTGTGATCCTGTCTGTTTGCCCCAACTTTGCTTTGTACAACACATCAGATAGATCCTTTCGTCGAGATGTTGTCTTCTTTTCCCTTTGCCCTCTGTTTGTCCGTTTTTCGATTTATTCATGTTTTTGTGGAGGGAGGGGGATGGTTCTTCTTTTTTTGCGGAAGGGAGGAGAGGGAGGTGGAGTGTTGTTAAGTGGTTTCCCAGAAGCAATTTCTAATATTTGTTGTTGTTGTTTTTTTTTGGGGGGTGGGGGGTGTTTTGTTTGTTGTTGTTTGGGGGGGGGGGGTGTAAACCACCTTTTATTGTTTCGTGTACTTTCGATCTGAATTTTGACTCGCTGTCTTCCTCGACGTCACTGGGCATGCTGTTTTATAAGCTGTTCCAACCAGTGACTTCTCTTTTACGCTTTAATATGTGTAAGTTGTTCGAGCCGCTTCTTGCCTTCCTTACTTTTTCCTCGACAAGGTCCCGTTAGAAGACTCGGAAGAGAATAAGTAGGTGAAAGACAAGATAAAGTCAAACGCAACTCGGAATTGAACCTTTTACGTCTTACATGTTCATCAGATTTTTAATCAACGCCATCGCAGATGAGTGCTGAAAAGTATTGTTGTACTCGGTTAGCGCTGAAAGTGCAGGTGGCCAACTCACCTTTTGTTGGACGCTGGTGGTGTTTAGTACTGTGTATGCTTGTCGTCTCCTTCATTTTCCTTTTTAACGTGCTTGTATTCCGTGTTGTGTCTTTGGCATTCAGCATTGTAAACTATAACTACAACTCTGTTACTACAGTAGCAACATAGCAACAAAGAAAAAGCTGCAGCAACAACAAAATTACAATAACGTGTAGGTTGGGCAACGTTAAAAAAGACTGCTACACCCCCGTATGACTATTTAGAACTTTCTCAGCTCTCCTGTGTCTAAGAACTCAGTAGCTGCAATCTAGACGTTATTTCTGAAGGATGTTTGAATGTATTCTAGACACTTCTTTGGGATAAGTCCCCAAATATCCCGTGCCTTATCCAACTAGTTAGGGCCTGTTGGTGGTCGAAATCAGGACAGATTAGAAGAGGCTGGTAGAATTACGATATGAAATCGAGTTTTGCTGTAGGAGATAAAGTTTTGCTTCTGGTTTCTTTTTTTTTTACAGCTTTTTCTTCTGGGTCGTGCGGCTGTGTCCTGTCTTCGTTTTTTCACATGCGAGCAAATGAATGAATGAACGAGTGAATGAATGAATGAATGAATGAATGAATGAATGAATGAATGAATGAATGTTTAATAGAGTTAAACAATATTACAATATTATTCTAGATGTGTGTTTGAGTACTAAGCATGCATTAATAGTTTCGCAACGAGAATAAAACGTGTCTACTCAATAAGGTGAAATTCTTATCGCAGAACTTGGAAGGCTGATTATGTGGGGAAGTTAAAAGAAGAAATATAATAAGTGTTGTATACGTATTTTCTTTGGGGGGAGAGAGAGAGAGAAAGAGAGAGAGAGAAAGAGAGGGAGAGAGAGAGAGAGAGGGAGAGAGAGAGAGAGAGAGAGAGAGAGAGAGAGCTTGCTTGTGTCTCCTTGACTGCATTGTGTTTAAAGTGCTAACTATAAAAGTAATTTCTAAGGACTCTTATTACTGTACTTGAGATCATACTAGGTTATGGATCGGACAACCCTAGTTTGAATCTCCAACAGAAGATCGTTGTAATTTAGTTATTTTTTAGTTGTCTGCATGGATCCATGGCTCTTCGTGCACATAGGACGTGGGGGGGGGGGGGGC